ACCCAACAACCATAAAGTGCCCAAAACCCCAATGGTTAGGAAAACAGAGAATCTGAGAAAACTAAAATATCTTAAATATATAAGATTCCTTGTACTTAAATCAAAGAACTTTTAATCACTATTGTATTCTGTATAGTTTAATGATATAGATTTTAGGTAGCAGGGATAATCAATATGTATTTCATAACTAGAATAATTCATATTAAATCATTCAATTAATCTCTTATCCCATTGTAAAATCTAAAGAAATTGTGTTAATATCTGTTAATTCAAAATTAAGTTTCACTAAAGCTAATTTAGGGATTTGTTTCTTTTGAATTATTCCGAGATTATTGCATAAAGCGAAACCAATAACTAAAAATCATTTGATTAATTACAAAAACGATGATTTTCTTTTCCTATTAAATCTTTTTGTCTTCGCTAATGTTTTCTTCTTTGGATGAATCATTTAACCTTTAGTATTTAATGATTTTTTAATGCTAAGTGTTAGATTCATGCTGGATTCAATGTTTTATTCTTAGGTTTAAATTATTGAATCGTTTTCAAATATTTTTGTCTTATTAGCTTAATTTTATGCAAATAATATTGATTTTTATAATTTCATTTCTAATGCTGATTATCCTTACTGTTTAACTAGCTCTTTAGATTAAATATTTTTTCCTTTCCTCTTCTTTTATTTATGATATAATCTGATTTTATCAATAGTTTCATTTAAAATCATGATGAAATTAAATACTAGATACAAAAGCACTAATATGATTGGTAAATATCCTAGCATCTATCTTAAATTATTTTCCATTTAGAAATGAGAAATAAATGGTATAATGCTAAGACAAATTATAAAGAAAAATCCTTCATTAAAAATAGCCAATTTGTTCCTTCGATTCGCTAAATAAGGTTAAGTCTCAGTTAGGTATATCATCATTGAAAATGAAAGTGCTATTTAGATTAAGATTTAAAGGCTTTAATTATCTGATAGGAAAACAAGGCTAAAGCTGATAATTAATCTTCTAGTTACTAAGATTGGATATTTTAACAAATAAATTTATCTTGATTATTTCAAATGCTCAGTCAATGTATCAATTTTAAAGTGTTACTTCTTTTGAGATTTTAATGACTAATTTCTTATTAAAAACACTATCAAAGCTGGAAAAATAAATATACCAACTGAAAATATCACTGAGCAAAGAGAACCTAATATATTCCCAGATTATAATAAAACTATCTGTAAATGTCAATCTTAATATATTATCTTACATTTTAAACATTTACTAAACTATTTAAGCACAGTTCCATATAAGCTTCAATGAAAAATCTCAAGATTTAGTTGAATAATATATTATCACAATATCTTTAAATAATTTTCCTATTAAGGTTAAAATACAAATCTAAATACAATTTTCTATTGAGTGCAAAAAGATGAAATGCAAGGGCAAAAATTGTAAACATTATGTTTGCTATCATAATGTAAAATAATAGTCCCATATTTAGAATAAAGTTTAATGAATTGTAGTTCATTTGTTCAAAAGCAACATTGAAAACTTTATAAGAACTATCATCTTTGTAATTAAAGTCAAGAGCTAGATTATTTAATTTATCCATTGGTATCAAATTGAAACTAGCAATGTCATTTATTAATCCGAAAAATGATATTGTATTTCCTGGTAACTGTATGTTCATTAATGCAAGATGAGTGATCAATTAAAAATCTTCTATCATACTCCATAGTAATTGAGCACTTTAACTCCTAAAACATATAAAAATAAGTTAAGTCAGCTTTACATCAGTATATTGATTCCTAGATTAGCACTAAATAGAGAATTCATTGTCCATAATATTGTAGTTGCCACTGCTGAGTTTAACTCTAAGGAATTAGCATTAATCTATGCTGGCATAATTTTTTCAATTAAGTAATTTTATTTTATTTTTCTTTTGAAATCTTTGGTAAAAAATATGTCTTTCTTAATGAATTACACTATTAGTAGATCTGCCTAAAATTATTAAAAGAAATATTTACTGAATTTTGAGAAATAATTGATTAATCAAAAGAGTACAGGAGCTGTAGTTTCATTATTTGATTTGAAATATCTAAAATTAAGAAGTCTACTGATTTAATTATCATCCCATCTTAAATCGAGACTAAAATTTTAATGCTTTGTTGTGCTAAACTTCTTAGGAGTTTATGAGTAAAGATTTCGCTTTAAAATACAATTCAAACTTAGCCGGTTGAAGATATACTTTTAATTCTAGCTTATAATGAGTCCAAAGCTTAAGATATCTACATTATTTAATTTTCATTGAATACTAACTTTTAATCATCTTCTGATTTTATACCAGATAACTTGTCTTTTACAGATATCTTAAACTAATAAGTGTTGTAGATTCTTGGGTTACCTTGCTGCAACAAAATTATCTTAATTCAGTATTCACCTTTATCGCCTTCTAATGGAGCAATTTTGAGTATATCATTAGCTAAAGTAACAAATTTTGTGGCATTTTCATTATCCTAGATTGCTGGCAGTTTTACATTATAAATTGAATCTTCATAAACGATTTATTCATTTAGCAATGTTTTGAAATATGGGGCAGAATTATTATATTATGTTCTTTAATACCTTGTTAAGTCAACATAATGAAAAGCGTAAAAGTTTATTTATATGTTGAATGATACAGTTATAGTATTAGCAAATGTTTATAAGCTACTTAAAATGGCAGTTAGTGTTACTGTTAATTTTTATTTTTTAAGTCTTTGATCATTCGATTAGTACTGAAATTTTTTGAAACCTATGATCTCAGCATAGACAGAATCGAATTATTTTGGAATTAAAAATTCTTATTCAATACTAATATCAAAGCATTGTTTAGGGTTTACATAATCGAGTAGAACTATATTTTGCACAGAGTCTCCAATAACATAATCTAGGTTTATATCATAATATTTTGGAATACTATTAAGTATTTAATTGCATGATCTTGGGAATATTTACAATGTTTCTTTTATTTCTTCATAACCGTAATCTATCAATGCTTTAATAGGCTAGACAGTCACTATTATCACATTTAGCTCATCAAAAGTTAAATACCTTTAGAAATAAGGTTCATCTATATTTAATGTCTAAGAAAAATCACTCTCTAATTTTGTGTCAATCTGATGTGGAGGTTCTACTATTACTCCTTGTATTAATTTTTTCAATTAAAAGGTTATTTACTAGGGATCAGAACAATTATTTTACCTTAGCTAAATAAGGGTTATATTTGAGCAATTAAATCCTGCATAGCAGGTTAGAATTTTGCCATTGATTAACTGTTCATGAAGTTAAGAATTAATACTTATTTTGGTTGAATCAGTACATTTGTAAATCTCTTAACTTGGATAACTTTGAATAGAAGCTCTTACATCCCTAAAGCTACGAATGTCTAGTTAATTGAAGTTCTCAATAGATACAGGTTAATAATTGGAGAATTGAGTTGCGAACGATATTAATTGAATTACATCAGTTGAATAAACAAAATTCTTCATTATTAAATCTTAGCATTTGTATTAGCTTTTATGAGTAATGCTAACAAATCCTTATTATAATGCATCAGAAATATATGTGCCTGCAATTAATTGGTGCCTAAAACTTACAAGTTTCATTGTTGTCACGTTATATTTTACATTGATAGAATAAGTCCTTAGCTAATAATTTACTGCTTCTAATGCTGTAAAATTGCTATCAATACTATCTTAATTAATTTTCAAATATCCATATGATTATTAATACATTTCAGTGAAAGGTCTCTAAGCAAAATGCACAAAAAGTTCAACGTTTTCATTGAAAACTGCCATCATACACTAATATTGACTATCATCTGAGAAAACTACATAACTTGTAAGAATTTAAAAATTAATTGAATCAAAAGTGAAAATTCCAAGTGAAGAAGGTCAATTAATTGTGGTGGTATCACTAGAAGTACAGCCACTCAAGTATTTTCCATCAATACTATTTTCCATTAACTATACTGTAGAATCATAATAGTACTTTTAATCCCCATTAAGAATAAATTCTTGCGCATAATGACTAGAAAATTCATTATCAAATATACCCAATACATATTTGTAGTTCCCCATATTTAATGTACTACCAGCAAGGTAAAGATTTTAATTAGAATCATCAAAAAGCATACTTCTGATAGTGTGTATTGTAAATGAAACTTTTAAAATAATAGATCCAAGATTTTAATCAATTACTAAGAATGAAGTTGTATCTGATGCAAAAAGGTCTATAGCAATATAGACTTTTGAATTTGAATCAACCTCAAAAACTTAAGGTCTTACTGAATGCATATGTCCATTTAGCTTCAACGATTTGATAGCAGTACCAGTTTTTACATCAAGCATAGTCAATACGCTATATTTGGACTTAGTAATTAATAAGGCGAAAACTTTCTAATTCTTTATTTATAATGCTGATACATATTCTATTTTTATTGGGCTAGCACTTGTATCCCTATACGTGAATATCCATTTAACGTGTGCATTTTCCTCCTCAGTCTAAAAATATCCTATCAAAGGTAATAATTCTATACTATCTTGGAGACTTCCTCCAAAAACTATACCGCTATTCGCATCATTATCCATATCAACTGCATAAATTCTTGATTCTTTAAAAAGATTTCCCAAAGAAACTTAAATAGGAAATTATTTTGGTCCATAACAAATATCATATGAATTTTTTCCTTAGATGATAAATAACAGTAGGAAGATCAATTACGAAATAATAGTTGAAATACTAATTCTATAGTGCTAAACACTATTTAGATAACAATACGTCATT